CCCTGGGATGGGCAGCCCTGGATGCAGGGACAGACTGGGGAATGAGGGGCTGGGGAACAGCACCAGGCCCTGGGGGTCCTGGTCAGTGGTCAGTTGGATCTGAGTCAGCAGAGTGTCCTGGCAGCCCAAAGGGCCACCATGTCCTGGGGGACATCAGGCCCAGCATCGCCGGCCGGGCCAGGGAGGGGATTGTCCCACCCTGCTCTGACCTGGGGCGGCCTCACCTCGAGTCCTGGGGGCTGTTTGGGGGCCACAGTGTCAGAGGGATCTGAAGCTGTTGGAGAGTGTCCAAAGGAGGGACACAGAGATGGAGAAGGGTCTGGAGGGGAAGGGTCTGAGGAGCAGCTGAGGGCACTGGGCTGGTTCAGCTGGAGCAGAGGAGACTGAGGGGAGACTCCTCGGGGGCTGCAGCTCCTCCCGAGGGGAGGCGGAGGGGCAGGCGCTGAGCTCTGCTCTGGGACCAGGGACAGGAGCCAGGGAAGGGCTGGAGCTGTGCCAGGGGGGTTGGGATGGATCTCAGGGAAAGGTTCTTCCCCCAGAGGGTGCTGGGGCACTGCCCAGGCTCCCCAGGGCAGTGGGCACGGCCCCAAGGCTGCCAGAGCTCCAGGAGCGTTTGCACAACGCTCTGAGGGACAGGGTGGGATTGTTGGGGTGTCCTGGGCAGGGCCAGGAGTTGGACTGGATGATCCTTGTGGGTCCCTTCCAGCTCAGGATTCTGGGATTCTATGGAATGTGGGTGTTTGGGGGCTGCAGGGTGCCCCGTGTCCATCCAGACCCACACTGAGCCCTGCAGATCCCAACTAAGCTGCTGGTGGAGTCCAGCACTGGCCCAACGACCCTCAGGCAGGACATGATAGAGAGGGGGCTGTGAGGGTAAATGCCAACCTTGGGGACACATGGGATGGGGTGGCTGAGGTAGTGACCAGCCCACAAATCCCCTTCAGCAGCCACATGTCCAGGAGAAAAGGGGCTTTGGAAGCTCGAGAGGCCACAAAAGCAATGCTGGGGTGGGTGATTCTGACTTGAGGCTTGGGGAGCTCCCAGTCCCCCCTGGGATGGTGTGTAGATGGAAGTTGCCACTTCACCATCATTCAGTAATTAAATAAGAAAAATCCCTGGTTCAATCCAACATGCAGGAAAACTCCTGGGAGCCCTGTGCAGACCCTGTGCCTGCAGGCAGGAGAGTGGTCAGAGGGGATGACCCAGGGCACTGAGCTGCAGGGAGGGCTGAGGGCAGAGGGAAACCCTCAAGCACCTCGGGGGAGGGATGTGAGGTACTGGAGGGGAAAAGAAAGTATCTCTACAAGGGCTGATGCTCAACAGGCCAAGTGTGGCCAGTGCTCCCAAAAATAAACCAGAGGCAAATGGGGCAACAAGGAAACTCTGACAAACAATAGAGGAACGACACATCCTCGAGGGAATGAGGAGTTATGGGTTGGGTGTGTCTAATGAGCACGTGCCAGCAATTGTTTACAGTGTGTTAATCCATATAAGCTTTCTGGGACCTTGCTGAGAGCTGAGTGTGACTGCTGGCTCTGTTTCTTATTTCTAGGTCTGTATGGGCCCATAAAATGGGGATTTGCAAACACAGACAGAGCACTGAGGGATGCTTTTTGTTTCTACTTGAACTTTCTCAAATCCCTCTGAATAAGGGAGTCTGCTTTGAGGTTAAACAGCCACCCCTCACAACTGCCCACGGAGGGTCCCAGCATCACCAGCTGCCCAAAAGAAGGGAAACACCCCAGCCAGTGCAGGTGTCTGACCTGGGTGCAGGTGCCTACCAAATCCAGGTGAGGATTTGTTCCAGACCTGCTGGGAAATTGTGGGGTTTGATGTACACCAAGCCAGGGGATGCTGCTTGGCTGCCAGCTGCTTGGGGCCAGGGTTATTCCCACCCCAGGCAGTTTTGGGGTGGTCTCCTCAATGGGGGGTCAGGGGGCCATCTCCTCAAAGATGGTGCTTTAGAGTAGGAGGTGATGTTTTACCTGGAGGTGATCAAGGGCAGGATCAGCATCTTCAGCATCCTCATGAGAAGCTCTCCAGGAAAGGAAAAATACTGCTTCTCCTGCACACAGAGCAGAGCCGTGTGTCAGGTGAGCACTGAGTGGGCCATGACTGTGGGTTAGGGGCTCAAACTTGATAAATTTGCCTTTTTCCAAACCAGCCCCAGCTCTGAGCTGGCTCCTCCTGAATGTTGTTGCTCTTGTTATCAGGGAGCATCTGCAAAGTGCCCCAGAGCCGTCAGGAGCAGCAAAAGGTGGGAATACCTCGTGGCTGCAGGTGGCAAAGGCAAGCTCAGGGAGAGCCCCAGTGTCCAGCCCATTCGTGGGGCAGCCTCGGTGCAACAGGGGAGGTTTCTGTGCTGTGACATCTCTTCACATCCCCTACATCCTCACATGGACATGGGGAAGGGCTGTCTGGAGAGAGACCCCCAAATTCCAGATAGCACAGCCACGACCAAGGGGAGAGTGAGGGTCTGTGGGACCAGCAGCCACCTGGCCAGCATCCCTCCATCCCTACCTCTACCCACCCTCCATCCATCCATCCATCCATTTATCCCTTTGTCCTTTAAATCAATGCCTTCTTTCCCTCCTGCATCCTTCCATCCCTACCTCCACCCACCATCCTTCCATCCATGCATCCACCCACCCTTCCTCCCTCCCTCCCTGCCTCCCATCTTTCACTGTGCCACTGTAGAGGTGTCAGGGATGGATCTGAGATGGCCCCAAGCCAAGCAGGTACTTTTGGTTACTCCAAAGGAAGGCTCTGAGGTGTGCCAAGGCAGCTGTTCAAACAACTGCTCCCCACTGCCATCCCTGTGCTGTCCCTGTGCTGTCCCACTGGGGTCTGGACGTGGCTGATGTCCCTGGGGAGCTACAATGGGCCCAGACACGTGCAAGGGGTGCCAGCAGATTGGAACAGCACCTCTTTGACAGCGGGTCTTTAAACTTCATAACATCTCCCACTGTGGGGAGGAAAGCAGGGACTGGCCCCTCCTCCGTGGTGCAGGTTTTGGGACAAAAGTCTCTAATGGGGAGCAGTGGCTGTCGGGCCCCACAGCAGGGCTGGGGCAGAGGATGGATGAACTCAGTGCATGGCAGGGTGAGGGCCTGGAGCCCCGAGGCTGTGCCGGCCTCACGGGCGTGTGCACTGGGATGAGGGAGATTACACCCGGCTTCAATTAAGTAACGAGATCATCCCCGCTGCGCTGATGTTGAGGGGCCTAATTGAAATGACAAGACTTTGCTAAATCCAAGTGGGCAACACAGGGATGTTCCAGCACCGGCCAAGCTCTCCCTGGAGCAGCATTCCCCCTCCTGGGCTCCCCAGCCTGCTGAGGATCAGGGCTGAGCCCAGCCCAGCTGCCCAGTGCCAGCACAGCCGCGGGGATCCAGGGCTGTTTCACAGCACGATCCTCCTGGAAAGCGCTGGGTGAACGTGCCTTTTAGGGGCATTTTCTCCAATGCATTTGTTTCCAAGGGTCCTCAGAGGAAGGACCCCTGGAAGACACCCCCCAGGCTCCCCACCCGCCCTTATTTATTTGCTGGGTCTTCTCCAGAGAGCAGAAACGTGCTTGGATTGAGCATCTGCACAGCTGGGGAGGGTCAGGGGAGGAGCTCATCCCTGGGACCCCGTTGCTGCTGGCGGTGTTGGGGGGAGCCTGTCACTGAGCATCTTGCAGCCAAGCAGCCATTCCCCACTTTCCCCTCCTCAACCCACCTGGAGGCTCTTGCAGTCCCAGGGGCTCCATCCCAGAGCCCCCCACTCCCACTGGAGGAAGGCAGGATTCGTCCTGCAGCTTTGGCATTTGTTGGCAGCTTCTTGGTCAAAAAAAAAACCAAAAAACACCCCAAGCAAACCCACGTGCAGAAACCTGCCCTGAGGTGTTTTCTCGTACAGGAGCCTTTGCTTTTGGGGCTGTGCCCATCTGGGACCCTTAGTGGCACCAGGGCTGGCTGCCCCCCCGATCACTCCATCTCCCTCACTCCCATCCCCACCCCGGCCAGGCTTACCAGGTCCGTCAGCTCCAGCGTCCGCAGCAGGAACCCCAGGAGGCACCCGGTGGCCACCGACAGCATGGAGAGGGTCAAGAGGCCATTTTTGTACCAGAAAGCCCGCACCCACTTCCAGAGGCGCAGGAGGACCGTGGACAGGGAGTGCAGCACAGCTCTCCTGACACACTCCCACATGGTTGTGGCTCAGCCACCCCGACGATGCCCCTCGGAGCAGCTCCCAGCCCCGCTCATGGCCACGGGCACCGACGGACCCCTGCTCTGTGCTGGGAGCTGAGTATGCTGATGGCTAATCCCCAGAACCAAAAGCTTCAGGGATATTTGGGAGCCTTTCCCATAATGGAAAGTGACGTCTTCAACTGGTTAATCTGGGCTTGGCATCCCGCCCCTGCGGTGCCGAACCCTCCCAGTTTAACCCTCCAGCCCCTGGGTTGGGGGCCGGTGTGCAGACTGAGAGCAGGGATTCAGGCCCAGAACTCCCTTCCCCTCACAGTTTCTGATCCAAAGGGATCTGGGTCCTGCCACCAGATCTGGGTCCAGCAGCACATTTGTGCTCCCACCAGCTGTGAGTGCACCCCCATCCTACCCCCATCCGGAAGGGCTTCATGAGGGCAGGGCTTTCTCGTGGCATCTGCACAGACATCAGCCCAAGACACCAGTGGATGATGCTGAATGTTCCCGCAGGAATATCTACCCCAACAGAACCAACTTCCCCACCAGCTCTGCAGGGAAGCTGCCCCGAGGCCACAAGGTGCTGCTGAGGTACCTGGTCAATAATCCACAATATTTTAGAGTATTTCTGTGTCCAGTTTGTCTCTGGCTCAGGCCAGGAGTGTTGCTGGAGCTGGAGCATGGTGCAGAAGAACGGGGTGGGTGGGTTCAAGACTGAGGATCCTCTGGGAATGGGGAGATATTAAAACCTTTCTGGCCCTGACTTTAACCCCCAGCCAAAAACAAGGCCACAAAGCCTTCTTGAACCATTGCCATATTTTACACAGACAAAGCAAAGCCACAGTGAAGTTGTGACTTGAGGATCTCTGGCCCCTGCCCCGTGGGACAGGACCTGTGCAGCCCCACGTGCTGAGCGGCTGCTCTGGCAGGGTCACGGTGGATTTGCAGGCTGGCTGAGAGGAAGCAGAGCTCCCTTCCCATCAGGAGTGTGGTGCCTGGTGCTGTGCATGTGTCGGCCCCTGGGGAGGTCTCTGTGGTGCTGTCTCATGCCTTTGGCCTTAGCGTGGATCACTCAGCCTGCCAGAAGTAGATAAAGTGTTTGCTCATCAGCAGAGCTGAAACACAGTTGCCTCTGTTCAGCTCCAATTTCAGAGCCAACTGCGAGCTGGGGGATGGAGCCTGCATGTTGGGGGTGAGCAACTGCTTGGGAAAGGGGAGTCCCAGTTGTCTGGGGGATCAGGGACACCTCAAAGGACATCGAGGGGGCCCTGGGGCTGACAGCAAGTGAGGGAGAAAGCTGAGATGGGAAAGGGTGCAGGGAAGTCCAAATAATTGGGAATAGCGGAACGTGAAGACCTTTGGGGAACTGAGGGCAAGTAAAGAATATCCCAGGAAGAGGAATCACAAAGAGGGAGGGGAGAGAGGGAAGGTGGCAAAACAGCAAGGGGTCAGGAGGGGAGGCCCTGGTGCTGGTGTGGGGTCTCTGCTGCTGGTCCGTGCCAGGCAGCACCTGGTGAAGGGGCAGGGCAGCAGCTCCCTCTGCACCTACCATAAATCTCAACGTCATCATAGATGTCAGTGTCCCTGCAAGGAGAAAGACAGGGTGCTGAGGACAGTCCGGTCTCCCGTGTCCCCATCACCTCCTGACCCTGAGGCAAGGGCCAGCTCCTGCTGCTCTGTCTGTTCCATCTCTCCTGACTTGTCTGTGGGCTCTGGTGTCCTCCTGCAGTCCCATTTGCTCCCTCCCAGCTCTCCCCACAGAGCTGGGACCCTCCAGTGTGGGGTTAACACGACTCTGGCCCCTCTCACGGACAGTGGCCTTGTTCCAGGCTACTGGGAGCTGCAGATCCGGCCATGCAGAGGGGCAGCACCTTTGTGCTGCCACCAGCAGCCTCTGGGCATGTCCCACATGAGGGACCACATCTTGGGGAGTGCTCAGTGTGCCCCAGTGCCAGAACTTCTCCTGACACCAGCAATGGCAGGTTCCACCCCAGGGTAACCAGCCCGTGTCGGGTTTATGGTCACTGCCTGGGCCGGATGGTTTTGAGCTGTCAGAAATGGTTTGGTGCCGGGCACTCACTGAGCAGTTGAGCTCACGGCGGGGGGAGGAAGGGGTCGGGGAAGGGTACTCACAGGTGCAGCATCACGGCCCGGGGCACGTAGCCATCTGCAATAGAGCGAGGAAAAACATGTCAGGTTGTGCCGGGAGCTGCGGCATCAGCGGGGACTCACGCCAGCCCCTGCCCCTGCCCAGGACTTGCAGGGTTTAGCAACACCTCGTGTCCCCAGGGAGAGGTGAACGTGTCCCCAGGGAGAGGTGAACACGTCCCCAGGGAGAGATGGGACAAGGCAGAGCCGGCTCTGGGAAGCTGAGCTGGACCCGTGGGAGGAACCTGCTCGGGGCAGTGTCAGGGAGGAGCCTGCCGGGCTGGGTGGCAGCCTGCGGGGAAGAGCCTGATCCCCGTCTCTCTGCCCGGAGGATCTGCAGCCCGTTTCACCTGTGCATCCCTCCGTGCAGACACAGCTTGTGGACACCGTGCCCATGGCAAAGCCTGGTGTGCCAGGCTGGTGGCCGAGAGGCTCCGGGGACTGGAAAGGCTTTTAGCAGAGGGAGAGAGGACAAGCCCCGCTCACGGTAGAAATGGAGGAAGAGCAGGACGTTTGTGCAGAGAGAAGTGGGAACCTTTGAGGCCCAGGGTACCTGCCAGGTCTGTCTAACGGCAGGAGAATGTCTCTCCTGCGGTCTGGCGGGGCGTGTGCGTACGAAGAAACTTGTTCCTAAAATTGCTGTGCTCCCCCCTGCGGGCAAACCCTCATCCTCCTCCAGACTTACACCTCCTCTGGCTGTTCCGGCAGAGGATTTGCTCCTGATTGGTAAACTGAATGACATCAAGGATCTCTCCTCGTCGCAGCGGCAAATTCTTCCCCCCGCCCCTCCTCTCTGTCGCTGCAGGGTCGACCATCATCCGAGTCAGGACGTTGATGCTGCCTTCGAACTGAAACACAAACAGTAGAGCCCTTAGGGGAACTGAGTCAGGCAGGTCTGACTGCCCTCCCTGCTTGGAAAAAGCAGGTGCCTTTCTAAGGTCTGTGGGACTGGTCTGACCTGGGGGAACAGGGCAGGTGGGAACTGGGTATTGACTAGTCCCTGCAGAGCACAGCTCCTCTCTGCCATTGCATTGCACCCTTCCCAGGAGGGGAGAAGGAGCTTAGAGGGATAAGGGATCACTCGCTGCTGCTCACCTTGAATTTCTTCTGAAACTCCCTGTCTGCCTTGTCTTCCTTCTTGCATTCCTTGAGCGTCATGGTCTTTGTCTTCTGGGAGACCTGGGCTTCTCTGCAGTCGTTGAGAGTCACAGGAAGGTTCAGGTGACCCCACGCTCTGATCTCTCTCATCCCTTTCTGCCCCCCCGGCTGCTGCCCCATTGCATTTCCCTGCACCAGCTCTGGGGCTGCTGGGGGCTCTTGGACCAGGTGCACAGCCTGCAGCTTGTGCTTTTCATGGGCTTTCCTGCTGCAAGCACAGCAGAAACCATTAAAGCACCAGCTCTGTCAGAGCACCAAGGAAACCTGACCATTTTGGGACCTTTAGAAAAGGAAAAACCCCGTTACCTCTGTGCAGCTGCCAGCAGGGCAACCCTGGGAGAGGCTCGGCCGGCATCTCCACCTGTAAAACCAAACCCCGGGAGAGGGGCTGCCATGAGGCTGCTGTGAGGTGTAAACACCTGCCAAGACAAGATACAAAGAGCAGCAAGAGCTTCCTCCTCCTGGGACCAAACCCTGAGTGTGCCCCTGAGCCTGGTGGGATCAGGGTTTCCCGTGCCCATTTACAAGCAGCAGAGAAACCCATCTCCCTCCTGTGCGTGGCAGCAGCGGGCTCAGCACGGGCTCTGCTGCTGCCTGTGGATCTTCGGGGCCTCAAGGCTCTGGGAGCTGCAGCTCTCACCCCAAACAGCACCTCAGCCCCTCCCGTACCCACCTCCTCTAGGGCGGGGATGTGCTGGCGGCCGGGACACAGGAGGCAGCGGAACGCCTGGGTTTCTCCTGGGCGGCCCAAGAGACTCAACGTCATCATATATCTCATCTTCATCCCTGTGGCAAGGCAGAGCGGGGTTGGGGGCCGAGGGCAGAATCGAGGCTGCCAGGAGGAGGGTGGGCAGCAGGCAGGTGGGCTGCCCGTGGGCTGGCCCTGACTCTGGGGCAGAGCGGGACAGCAGCTCTGTGCCCTGTGCCAGCACAGCAGGGCCGTGGAGGGGACGGGCAGGGTGTGTGATGGCAGCAGCCGCAGCAGTGCGGTAACGCAGCCCCCGAGGGGCGGCAGCGCTTCGCACCGCGGGAGCTGCCAGCACACGCTGGGCTCCAGCAGCAGGCAGGAAAACACCAGGAGCCCCTCGCTGTCCCCTCTTGTGCCCTTCCCACTGGGTCGGCACAGCCTCGAAGCCCCCAAGTGTAACAGAGCTGTCTCTGTCCTTACCCCGCTCCGCTCGGAGTTCCCTGCAGCGGGAACCGCCCCGGTGCAGCACAGCCCGGCCTCAGGTTACCTGTGGGAAACAGCAGAACAGGAGGGAGCAGTGAGGGGGTATCTCGTATTTTCTCCTCAGCTCTAACACCCACCCTGAGGTCAGAGCCACCCTGGAATGGATTTAGTGCAGAGAGGAGGATATGGGGAGATAAAACTGCACATCTGGATCAAGGAAGGAGTTTTTACTCCATAGCTCATCTAGGGACTTTCGTCCAGCACACGGGGGCACAGCTCACTGGGGACCTTGAATATATATTTTCCCATTCTTATGACCCTAATATTACTTTCTCCCTGGACAAATGATGGAAGGGGAAGATGAAAAGACCAAAACAGGTATTTTGAATGTGAAAACCCTAAATTCCAGTTCTGTACCAGTGTTAGGGCAAGCCCTGGATATCTCCATGTACTCAGAAGCATCATCAGCCAGAACATGCTGCTGTACACTTCAGGACTGCCAGCATGCCCACATGCCTGCTGACATCCCACTGTTTTTATCATCAGCCTCATCAGCAGCCTGGTCAACCAGACCAACCAACAACTGGCATGAAGACCCAAGTACAACATCACAGCTCTGCCGGGTTATTCTACCAAGTAATGCACAATCAAATACTAGCCCCCAAAAATCATAAGATTTGCCCAAAAAACTAACAACAATAACCAAATCAGAGCGGGATGTAATTCTAGATGTTCAGACTTGCCTCAGTGCCCATGAGACAAATAAATACTTGAAACATTGCCGGTTTGTAGGACATAGGGAGAGCAGATTGCTGCCTTCTCTACCAGGGCTGCTCAGCCCTGGGCCAGGGCTGGTGATATGGGTGAGCATCTCCCAGCACAACAGCACAGCCAGCCCTGATAACACCTTTTAATAGTAACACAAACCAGCTCGATTTTTCAGTTCTCATAAGGAAATAAGGGAGGCTCTACTCTCATGGTTAGAGAAGTTGAGCAAGAAACGGGATTTGAAACAGGTTTCATCACCCAGAGTGTGGATTAGCAGAGCAGCAGCTGTGAGAAACCACTGCAGTGGCCTGGAACTAGAAGGCCACTGTGGAGCGTCCAGGGCTCGTGCTGAATGGAGAACCACCTCACCCAGAGGCACCAAGCCCTGCATCCCACAGGCAGCAGAGAGCCTCAGCCTCGAGGCCAAAGGGGCAGACACACACCCTGGGTGTTAACTTGGTGTGTAAGTGGTTCTTGTTCATGGGATGGACCAGCTCTGCTTCCCGCTGGTGGGGCTTGTCTGCTCTAACAGCCACATGAGGATGGACTGGTGGGAATGGACCCCTGGAAACTCTCATCCAACCTCTGCTCAGAGCAGGTCTGGCCTCGGAGCTAGAGCAGGTTGTTCAGGGCCTCATCCAGGGGAAAACTGAGTATCTCCAAGGATGGAGATGCCTGTCTTCCTGGTGCCTGCATCAGGGCTGCACCATGCTCACAGGAAAGAGTCTTCTCCTCATGCCTAACTGGAATTTCCCCTACTGCTTGTGCCCACCACCTCCAGCCCTGCTCCCAGGCACCTCTTGGGAAGAGTCTGGTCCCACTTCTCCCCCCATTAGGTCACTGTAGGCAGTGAGATCTCCCCTTCCTCTCTCTCCTCCCAGATGAACAAGCCTGGGTCTCAGCCTTTCTTTCCTCATGTTCTCCAGCCCCCAACCATCTTAGTGCCCTGCACTGGGCTTACTCCAGTTTTTCAGCATGTCTTGTGTTACTTACTCCAACTTTACTCCCTACAAACACCCCAGGGCCTGATGCCTGTGCCCAGCCAGGGACAGGGCAATTTGTTACCTCACCTGCTCTCCTTCTCTCTCATTCCTTTCCACATGCTATTGCCTATAAAAGCCCCTTTGGTATTACCAGCCCCCACTTCTCCATCAGCCCCCACAGTATTTCCATTTCACAGGAGATCCAGGCTCTAAGTGGGGACATTTCCCTTCCTCAACAAGCAGCATCCTTCCCTGAGGGACTTCCAGGTGTCTGGCCATACCCAGCTGAGCACTCCTTGGTGGCACTGTGGCAGGATGGAGAGGTGTCCCAGGATGTGCAGCTGCCCTGACCTTTGCCAAATCCACGACAGGAGGGCGCCAGGGCTTGGCTGGCTTCACTCCCAGCACCCTCACGGGTGGCAAAGGCTTCCTCTGGGGCAGAGCTGGGAGTCCTGTGTGCTGGGGGCTTCCTGCAGCGACCAGGGGGGCTGCAACCACTGTGCCTTTGGCTGGAACTGCTGGAACACCCTTGTCTTTGGCAAGTGGCCGTGTCTGCTGGGCTGGCTTCCTCTGGGGAGGATCAGGGCCAGCTCCCACCTCCTTGTTCAACACATCTCCTCCTCCTGGCTTTGCAGGCGCTGGGTGGAAGTTGGCGTCTTGAGCCATCCCCTTCTTCTGCCGTGCCATCCATGCCAGGGCCTCCTGGGTGACATGAGGAGGGGAATGCTGTGCCACACTCTGACCTGTGCTGTGGCACGGAGAGGCCCTGCTGTAGTCCACTCTCCTGGTCCGGGGGGGTTCTGGAGGGGGCTTGCCCTTGGAGCCCATTGCAAGGGTCTGTCCTGGCTCTGGTCCATGAGGTGCTGCAGGGTGACTCTCTGGCCAGCCCCCCACTTCAGGAGGGTCTTTCCTGATCCCTTGGAACTTTGCCCTCAGGTGTCTCACCACAGCATCTCTCCCCTCCAGATGCATCTGCGACTGTTAAGAAAAAGAATTCCAGTTAAAACACCATGGAGGAAAAAGAGTCAAAATTCCCCCTGGGGAATGTGGTATTCCTTCAGCATGGCCTCACACTAAGCCTTCTCCATGAAACAAGGTCTTTGCTCAAAAAGGTCCTGGAATATGTCTGAGGAAACAACACCAGGCTGCTGGTCTGATCCACCCTTTGTCCACTACCAGGGACCATCAAACTGGAGGGATTGGGTCAGGGATTACACCCTACTAGTAGAATCTGAGATCCAGAGATTGCCCAGGGCTCAGATGGGAGCAACCTGCCTTGCCCTGGTCCTGGTTCCCATGAAGAACCACAAAGAGAGGGAGACCACACAGAGCCGTTGGATCCCTCCCTGCAGGAAAACTCGGGATGGTGCTGCTGAGACTCATCCCACCAAAGCCTGCATGCAAAAAAACAAGGCCAAGAGGCAGCAGAGCTGGCCTACTTTTCTGACCTGTGTGTTTCCTGTGCAGCTCACACCGTGTACACGCAAACCAGGTGCCCTCAGCTTCCTCAGTGACCAAAATTCACCTTTTTCTAGAGCCTTCACAGAAAGGCTGCCAGGAGGAGGCTGGATGGCTCTTGGAAGAAGAGTGCCAGCTTGGAGCAGGATGGGGCTACATTTTTTCCTAGGCTTCTCAGATGGACCTTGTGGAAGGGGAGGGATCACGTTACCTTCCCCATCTTTCTCCCACCCTGATGTCCCCAGACCACAGTGTTTCTTTGCACCAGAGCTGCTGCTCTGCTGGAGCTGCAGGCTTTGATTTTGGAGTTCTTCTCCTTCTGGGATTTCAGTTTGGGTTTGTACTTGCGTAATTTTTTCTTTCACAAGGGAAGGGCTGATTTGGAGAGAAGCTGGCGCAATGTTTTCAGACATAACTGATCAAATGTATATGTACACCTACATAAACACAAGTTCTTCAGGCAGATGCCCCAATTCCCCTGGTAAACCCTCACATGCAGCATTTGGCACAGCCTGTGGTGAAGCAGAGTGATTGTGCTGTTTCCTGCACACCAGGCAGTGGGGCTTTCACCCGAACTAGTGAAAAAAAGCCACTTTTTCTAGATTCCCAAACATGCTGCTGGGATTTTTGGCACTTGAATGACTCAGTGGTTTGTAACCATCAATTTTGGGGCTGTTCCATGAACTGGGACTTGCCCAGAGCTCTCAGGTGTACCTGTGGGATACAGCACCACTGTGACTGTGACGAATTCCAGGTTTTCCAATGTATTTTGTGCTGGTGGAGCTCTCCTGGACTCAGTGGGAGTGTAGCCTCCTCTTTTCACAGATGTTTATATCCATCCCAAGTTCATCCAGCAAAGCTCCCACTGAGCCCAGGAACAGGTCAGAGACCTTGGAAGCTCCGATCAGCTCAGACACACAGGAGGACTTTGCCTTCCAGGAGGAGTGAGGGCCTCAGATGGATTCTGTCCCTCACAAGGACATCCCCAAAGCCTTCCCAACCAGGAGACACAGCTCCACTCTCAGTGTCCCCTCCTCATGTCCAGCATAGCCCAAGTCTGGTTCTTACTCACCATTTTCCATCAGTGGATGCTTTCCTGTGTGCTCACCTCCTTGCTGAAGACCACCCGAGGCACTCCAGGATGAGCCTCTCCGAGGTCCCCCTCCCCTGAAACCAGAAGCTCTTTCCTAACGGCTGGTGAGGACCTGTGTGCAATGCCAGGAAGTCGCTGTAGCCTGATGGTGAGACAGCACCGGGGGGAGGAGAAAGAGGAGGAGGAGCAGCTCTTGGCGGACAGGGAGCTTGGCTCTGCTGCTGTTGGAAGCTCGCAGCCCACCAAGCCCTGCTGCCCAGAAAAGTCTCATCCAGAGAAGAGCCTGGGTTTTGGGAACCGACTGCAGGATGTGAGGGATGGGCCTGGGAGGGTGGGCAATGCCCTCATCTGATGGTGGCCGATGTGAACCCTCTGCAGGTCAGGTCTCACAGCCACACGGGACCTGCAGAGGGTGGGAGTGATTTGTGGGGGGTCACACAGCAAAACAGCCCCACACAAACTCCTCTGGGAAGGCAAGGGAAGCTCTGCACAGGGCGGTTCTGCATTGGGCCATTGCTGTGTTGAAACATCCTGATGTCAACTGTTTGTTGCCTCAGAGGCAGGAATGGTCTGAGAGGTCAAGCCCTGGGCAGGGCTGCTCTGGCTGGCTGGTGGATGCTGACTTCCCTGCTCCAGGGTGGCATCCCTCCAGTCCTTTGGGAAGGTGTCCCATCAGCAGTGCCTGCAGTGGCTCCTGCCTGCAAATTTAAGGATAAGACAGAGGTTGTGGACACGGGGAAGGCTGGGATGAGCACCCGTTGGCCAAGGGTGGTGGTCCTGGGGGTCCTGTGGAGGGCGATGGGTGCCCAAGGCAGGCACTGGAGGGTTTGATCCCACCAGCTAGAGGTGGGATGGGAAGGGAGGTCCCACACGGGACCCACAGGGAGCCAACACGGGGGCACAGGGTGGGCAGACAGTGGCGACAGCCACCTCCTCAGAGAGGTGCGTCCCCATCCCCACCTGCTCCACTGCTCCTGCTGCCGCCACAGGGACAGCACAGCCCCGTCTGGGGGGACACGGAGGCCCAAGATCCACGTTTGGGGATGAGGGGTGGCGGGGAGGCCCTGAAAGCCGTTTTTGGGGGAGGACAGGGATGGGGGAGCTCAGGGGGGTGACAAGAGCGCAGGGGCTGTGCTGGGGGACGGGGTGAGCAGGAGAACGAGGGGCCGCGCTTGGGGGTGAGGGGAGCTCAAGGGCCGTGCTTGGAGGTGAG